GGATGAACACAGCAGGCCAAGCAGCCTCTCTGCTCCTATGATGCTGCTTGGCCTGCTGTGTTCATCCAGCCCTGCACCTTGTTATTTCAAATAAATGTTATGATTAGATGTATATTTAAATCATTGAGAATTCAGATATTACAGAAGTGTGGGTGTAAACAAAACATGGGCTATTTTGGAGTCAAGAAAATAAAGAATAGCAGTATATCATTGATATAAAAGCCAAAGGAATGAACATCAACAGAAGGGAAAATTGAAGGAGAATATTGATAGAAAAGGATAAGAATCAACATAATTATTGACCCATGTCAGTGCAAGATAAGCCATTGAATACCAGTTAGGTAAAGGCAGATTGCAAAAAGAAAAATCTTTGAAGGAAGGATACTGTTCATGCTATACCAAGCAACAGCAAGCAGAAGGCTGGAATCTGTTAGGAGGATTAGGTACCAAATCATTCAGTTGGTAAAATCCTGAACAATCTAGCTGTTATAACAAAATATTTTTGAAGATCCAAAATCCTGAGTAATCAGAACAATTTCTCCGATACTTATAGTTTGCTTTCAATGAGATTCAAAGTGAGGCAATGACAGAATTTTTGAAATTAATTTTTCACATCAGTATTCAAAATGACAATTAATTCTAGTCACACAGGTTTATCTGAGTTCTAAAGCACGTGCAGATATATGGCTGGAGTTTCTAGCAGGAGTACTTTTACAGTATCAAATAAGAAGGAATCCTCCCTATCTCACCAAAATAAACAGGTGAAACGTGGTATAATTGTCAAAATGACAACAAACTTTTGTGCACATTGAGTGGTTTTCCACATGAATTTAATATTACAACTGCCGTAATTCAATTTTGTGGAAGTCACAATATTTGTTTTTAATATTAAAACATGTGCATTAAAGCTTTACTAATTGTGGTTTTTAAAATTAAGAAATGTTTTGAGAAGAGTGAATATAGAGAGTGTTTTCTCTTGAGGGAAAGACCCCATGACTAGAGATCATTAATATAAAGAGTCACCAGAACAAAATCTGAAAGGGAATTCCAGAGAAACTTCCTACCATAGGGCATAGTTGAAGGGAATGATAGAGGCACTTAAGGAAGACTAGAAAATCACATGATGAAAAACAAGAGAGTTATAATTGTTGGTACAGACAGAAAATGACAGAAGTAGGTTAGTAGAGCTTAAACATAAGACTGAATTGGATGGGTCTAATAGCCTTTATCTTTGCCTTATATCCAATGTAGGTAATACTGTGTGCTGCACTGACCATTTGTTAGCTCATGAGGCAGCAGGACAAGTTTATTGTTATGTTATTAAGTAATATCATTTTAAAATGCTTCTCTTGTTGTGCCACCCAGAGGAGAAGAAATCTCCAAGGTGGTCAACTTGTATGCTCACAGTAAATCTATCAGCAAAATCCTAATAAACTTAAACCTTAACAAGTTTAGTAAAAATGGGAAGGGATACTTGTGCACAAAACACAGAAATCTAGCACAAAGGTGCATCAGGTGATCAGGAAGGCTAAAGGAATGTTGGCCTTTATTTCAAGGTGGTTGGAGTACAAGAATAGGGTAGTCTTACTGGTGCAGGTGAGACCACACAGAGTGAGATGGGGAGGAATTTCTTCAGCCAGAGGGTGCTGAATTTGTGGAACTCATTGCTGCAGAAGTCTGTGGAGGCCACACTATTGAGCATATTCATAGAGATAGATAGGTTCTTGATTAGTAATGGGATCAAGGGTTATGGGGGAGGAGGCAGGAGAATGGGTTTTAGAAACACATCAGCCATGATCGAATGGTGGAGCAGACTTGATGAGCCAAATTGCTTAATTCTGCTCTAATAGAGAGAAAGATGAACTCTTGCATTATATTCAGTGTTTCAAGACAGCACCAGAGCATGGTGACACTTTGTATATAACACGCAAGTAAAGACGTTATTGTATTTTTATATATGAGCGATAATAAATCTAAATCGATATCTTACGGAGAACTGACAGCAGTTTTGATCCCCTTATTTAAGCAAGGGCATTATATCACTGGAGACAGTTCAGCAAAGGTTCACTAGGAGGATCTCCATTATGGAGGGATTGGATTTAACAAAAGCTAAACAGGTTGGGAAAGCACTCACTGGAGTTAGAAGAAGGAAGTGTGATCCCTTTGAAACATATAGGATTCTTAAGGGACTTGAGGGGGTAAATCCTAAGAGGATGTTACCCACATGGGAGAGTCTAGGACCAGAGAGACACAGTCTTAGAATAAAGGGGCACCAATTTAAGACTGAGATGAGAAAGAAATTCTTCTGAGGGCTGCCGGTCTTTGAAACTCCTTTCCACAGACAGTTGTGGGAACAGAGCCTTCTGTATATTTAAAGCTGAGTTAAATGCTTGATCAACTGGGGAGAAAAAAAGTAGCAAAGTGAAGAACGTCAGATCAACCACGCTCCCGTTGAATGGTGGAGCGTGCTGGAGGGGCAGATTGGCCTTTTCCTGTTCTTACTTCTTACGTCTTATCAAAAGACAATTTGACAAAAGATAGTTTTTCTTAAGGTTTGAGTTTTGCATTTTAACTTATTGTACCTTACCCTAACATCGCTGTAATAATGTTGATGTATTTTTATACTCAAGTCTAGTACATTAGCCACTTTTCAAACTTTGATTCTGCCATTTCGTAATGCAGGGAACATTTACGCAGCATTCTATATCCTATGTTTGCATTTAAAAAATTACCTAACACATTTATACGCTATTCAATTATTTTTGAATATCTAATCATGTAGGACTTCCTGCAATGAAATCTCAAATTACCTGCTCCTATATCTGTGTACACAGAAGGCTGAATTGGCTCTTCATTCTTCCCAAAACGTTCAGCAGAAACAGGTTCTTCTACTTTTTTCAACCCTGTTTTCAAATGCCGGAGAATTTCATCAAACATAAGTTGCATCAAGTCCAGCTTAGCCCGGATAAATGTAGAGCTTCTTAAAACAATACACAAGGCTGTTTTAAGCAAACAAACTGTGCTGTGCTAACACCATTTGGAGATGGTTATAAATTTTACAGCTATTAACTGAAGCAACTCCTTAGTACGTTATCATTCTTAAAAGTATGATCTTGCCATTCATTTCTTAAACAGATTCGGAAAGAATGCACACAAATTTTATTCCAGGCAAGACAAAGTAGAGGATATGAGGGAGACACACAAACACGCAAACAGTATGCACAACTGACATTTCTGGCAAATTTAAATAATTCTATTTGAATTACCCAAAGAAATGCAAACTTCACTCAGTTGGTAAAATTCACCAAATAGGTATGGGTAATGCATTGCAAACCTACCCACTGTAGAACATTACTCAACTATTAAGGACATCTACGCCCATGCCCTTGGAGAACAATTTCAGAAAACCTCAACTGAAATCAACTTCTGCAATTTTTAACCAATTGTCCCAATTAATGCAGCTAAAAATAAAACCATGTAAAAGTAAAAATTATACCTTTAGATGATTCTGTTAACTTGGGTGGTGATTGCCAAGGATGATGACTTTGATTTATGTATTTTGGAAGAAACTGGACAACAAATTCTCAACTTTTATTTCACGCATGAACAAGCAGAAATGCAAGAACAGGAAACATCAGCAATTTACTGCAATAAAAATTTTCTGGGAAGAGATAAATGGAAAGGAGAGATGCACAAAAAGCAGAGGGAGAAACAAAAGGAAGAAAAGAGGAATTAGAACAATCTGTCAGGGTAAAGGCAAGTCCAATAGATTAGGAAACTGATCATTGGGACTAGGACTGGGTTTAGGCAAGGACAGGGAACATGTAGATATAAACTGTGTGGTGAAAGAAATTCGTTGTGAAGTACTGTGTTGCTGTCCAGTTGGTGACTTATCTCTTTAGAATATCATTATTTGTGCATAGCTCTAGTCCCAAAATCATTGACACATTTACAAGTTACCGTAAATTGCTAATTAAATATCATCCAATCCACATGGTTTTGTGGAAAGGAAATCATGTTTAAGCACTCTAATAGAGTTTTTTGAGGGACTAAACCGGACTGTGGATAAACTGGAACTGGCAGGTGTACTGTGCTTCGATCTCCATAAAGGTATTTTATAAAGCGCAGGAAGTAAAAGCTCATAGTGTGGTCAGTAACCTACTACCCACAGTATGGATAAAAGATTGGCTAGCTAACAAGTAGCAGAGTAAGCACAATTGAGTCATTTTCTAGTTGGCAAGATGTATCAAGCGGTGTGCCAAAAGGGATCAGCGGTAAGACATTAATCTCTTAAAATTTTATGTAAACGACTTGGACGAAAAGACCGAAGGAATGGTTACTATATTTGCTGACAACAAAAGTAGGTACAAAAGCAAGTTGTTAATACAACATAAGGAGACTACAAATAGATTAAGTGAATAGGCGAAAATCTGGTAGTGTAATTGGGAAAATTTTAAAAAAGTCAATTTTGGCGATAATAAAGAAGCATATTATCTGAATGTTGAGAAATGGCCGACCTCTGAGATGGCAGAGATATTTGGGTAACTGTATTATGAAAGATTAGTTTGCAAGTACAGCAAGTCATTAGGAAAGCTAACAGAATGGTACCTTAATTGCCATGGTCAAAAATCACACACACCAGATTTTAGTCCAACTGGTTTATTTGAAACAACCACCTTTCGGAGTGAAGCCCCTTCGTCAGGTGAAGTGAGAAAGAAGCAAACAGAATACAGAATCTAAAAGAATCTAATGGATTGCGACACACACAAGAATTCCTGGAGGCCTGGCGCTCAAACCGGAACTCCATTAACAAACATGTAGAGCTGGACCTCATATACCAACCACTGAGAAACAAATCCGGAAATGATGCCACCCACCCCAGCAAACAGAGACACACAAATAGCAAGCAGGACAGAACACCAACACTTCACTGGAGGCGAACCGATGATGTTACCTAGCATGGTGATGAAACATTTGCCAACAAGTCAACTACTGTACTGTGTCTAGAATCAGAGATAGTAGGAACTGCAGATGCTGGAGAATCTGAGATAACAAGGTGTAGAGCTGGATGTTCATCCAGCTCTACACCTTGTTATGTGTCTAGAATCAGTTTCTTTATTGGAGGGGGGTTCTGGAAGCAGTTCAGAGGAGGTTTACTAGATTAACATCTGAATGAGGCAAGTCAGCTTACGAGGAAAAGTCAGACAGGCTAAGTCATACCCACTGGAATTTCAAAGAGTACAAGCTAACTTGATTGAAACACAAGACCTAAAGTGGTCCTGACAAGGTGCATGTGGAAAGGATACTGTCCTGTGACGGTATCAAAAAACTAGGGATAACCTGTTCAAAATATAGAGTTGTGTTGCCCATTTAAGAGACACAAGGTGAATTCTCCAATGAGGACGATCTTTTGGAACTCTGCGCCAACTGTCTTTCAACGAAGAGAGTCTCTGAATGTTTTTAAGGCATATGTAAATATATTTTTGATAAACAAGTGTGAAAAGTTATTACAGATAGGCAGGAATGTAGAGTAATAAGATCAGCCACAATCTTATTAAATGCAGAGCATGCTTAAGCTTAAGGGTGGACTATTCCTGTTCCTAATGCATATGGTGGTACATTCGTATTTAATGGGTTTTTAATGGAACCACATAACCTTAGAGACATGGCTACCTTAAAGCGACCCTATTTTTTCATAAAAAGTCATTTGGTATAAGTTCCATTCACAGTTACAATATTAATAAGTCTCAGCAATCACACTTTACTATTGAGATCCTTAAAAAATCTATTGTCAGAGGCAACACATAGTTTGTTTATAATCGAAGAAACTAAGCTCAGTGAATTGTGTCAATACAAAGGTGAGACAATTTATATTAAAAAACTACAAACTTTTTGTTAATGTCTGTGTGAGTTTACAAACTCAAATTTAAAACATTGTTTCTTAACACCTGACTGAAAAAATATTGTGCATCCCCAGCTTGTAATTTTCCATTGATTTTAAGCAAAAAAAAATCTGTTTTGATGTTTTGTGTTAAAATAAAGAGGAACCAATGTTGAAAATGAAGTTGTGGAAATACGGATTGCTCATTTTTTTCCACTTTCTCACTGCCGACATGCTGAGAAGCAGGAAAGTTTGCACCAACTGACAATTCTCTATCTATTCATTTAAAAACAGCAAAAAGTAACTGTGGCAGTAATGCTACTGAGAAAGAAAGGGAGACATGTTGGGTGAAAATTCAGTTTTTATTTATTGTTGTGCCAAAAAATCTAATATTTTTCAAACCTTCTCATGTGGAATAAAGGTTACTCATATATTTATAGCCATCACAACTAAGAAATCCATACAAACATTTTGCCTGTATTATCATCTTGCTCTTTTGATTTTCAATCTATAAATGCGGAGCTTTGACGTCTAACACTGTTAATAAGGAAAATTTGAGAAATTGTGACGAGAGCTCACAACAGACAGATTTAAATAAGAACAGTATTTGATTATGAAAATGGTGGGCCTCAAGAGTAGGTTCAATTTCCAGTCGATGCAGCATATCAGATCAAATCTTGTAAAAACCTAATAAAATAGTTCATTAGAATGACAGCAGCATTATATAATGTACAATAACTTGAAAATAAATTGCTATAATCGCTGAGTATGGAAGATGCAGTTCTTTAAGAAATATCAACTAACGGAATAAAACTACTACAATATGTTAAAACAAGTAATCACACTGCAAAATTATTCCTCACTTATCCAACTCAGTGATTTGAAGTCAAATTAATGTCGTTGGTAGAGTTGGTGCAACGAGCAATAATATTTACTGAGGTTAAGGAAGAAGTTTGCTGCAAGTTTTAAAAAAGCCATTCTAGTGTTCAATTTAGCAATATCCAGATACTGACTGCAGTGTTGAAAATAAAGGCCAGTTTCAAACAAAATGCTCTGAAGAAACAATGGAAACAAATCTGTTGTTGCTGGCATTTCTGCTGTTTGGTGGATGTACCAACTGTTCTTTTGGCTCTAAGCATTTAGCACCGGTGTCCAAATACATCTGTTGAACAATACTGCAGGTATGATTTTGGGAAGATGATGGCGTATGGTAATGCCACTGGATTAGTAATCCTGAACCTTAATGTTCTAGGGACATGGACTCAAATCCCACTATCACATGTTCAAATGTGAATTCAATAAAAATCTGGAATAAAAAGCAAACTAATTTGGAGAAACAAACTAGAGTCAAATACATTGGAATTTCAAACCATCAGCACCTTGAAAACCAGTGGACCTATATAATTCTTTCACAAATTTCTCAAGAAAACAAATGCTAATAAAGCTTTCAATATAACTATAAATTCTGGATTTATCACCTCAGTAAGATAAAAATCTTGTAAATTCCGCAACTGAAAAATTTAAGATCAGCTCTTTTTCCTGTTTACTTATATGGATATCACTGGTTGGGGCAGCAGTTGTTATTGCCTACCCCTAGACTATCTTTAATAGCTATTGGTGAGGTGGTATTTTAACCAGTATTTTAAAATCCCACTTCCAAGGCTTAGTCAATGATCTTCAGACAGCTAGATCACCTTTGTGGGGGAGGGCGTAAGAGACTCCCTGCACATCTCAATGTTTTAAGATGAAGCCAATTGCTACAGATAGGCCCAATTTAAATAAAACTATCTTCAAAATGTAATCTGGGAAAGGGATGCAGTGGGAAACTGAACAATTCTAAGGAAGAGATATAAATGATAGTTTCATGTAATGCAAAGTTATGCGGGGGTGGGCAGGAAAGAGAAAGTCAAGGGGCAGTGAAATACAGTATGCAAACAGAACCATTTATAATGTCTTCAAATATTTCTCAGCATTTCCTCCAATTATACAGAAATTATCACAGTAATAGAAAGACAAACTGTT